CCTTCTGTAGCCTTTTGAAAAAGAAAGTTGTGGTTATCAGGTCGTCCAGGGGATCTGGGTGGGGCTAGGGTTTGGGGACTGCCAGAGGGGGTGCGGTCCCAGGGCTTCATGAGCCTCCCACTGCCCTCTGGGCCGTGGCCTGGAGGCATCAGGGGTGCCCAGAGTAAGGGGAACACGCCAAACCTCTGCGGTGTCGCCTGTGCCCGCAGGCACGTCTGCGGCGTCTCCGGCGTCTCCGGCAGGAGCAGCGCCGTCTCCTGTGGACCCTATACAGCCTCCTGCGGGAGCAGTGCCTGCGTCTATAGCGATAGTGGCCTCTGAGCGTCCATCCCTCGGCCTGGATGTCGTCGGGGTTCTGCTCCTGCTCTTGCTCCTGGCCCCCCTGCTGTGGGTGTTCACTGGGACTCCTCGTGCGGTGTTGGACCATTGTGAGCACAGGTCAGGTGCTGAGGCTGAGGCTGTAGCTGGCGTGGGGGCAGGGGAGGGGGCCTGCCTACCTGCTCTTGCTGTTATTGTTGGTCTGGTCTGCTGGCAGCTCTTTGGGGACTTGTATATAAGGGGGGCCGCCACTGTGACGGCGCCCCCACCCTCCATTGTCCTCACCCTCTGAAGGCAGCACAGAGCAGGGTTCCACAGCCAGCAGGGCCCAGAAGGGCAAGCCACCCCCTTGCCCTGCCTGTAAAGCATGTTCCCGATCCCCTGTAGCAGGTGGGACTCTCGCCAACCTTTTCTTGTCCAAATGGAAGCCCTCATCTCACCCAGGTGGCGGGAATCCACACGTCGCCACTCCTGAAGCTTCCTCACCACCTTAGGGGCTGTGCCATGTGGTCTGGGTGGGACTCTGCATTACTGCTTATCTGTGCACACACTTACCCAGTGGTTACTATAGGCCAGGGATTCATTCACTTTCCATACATTTACTCCTCTGATTATAATTCCCCATTTTCCATGGGGGAAACAGGCATGGAGAGGTTAAGAGACTTGCTCAGGGTCACTCTGCAAATAAGGAGCAAGGCTGAGCCTCAGAGTCCGTGCCCTTGGCCCTCCACCCCCTTTACAGCACTCTCACTGTACTTTCATGATCCCTTTACCCTGGCGGTAACCCCGAGTGTGGTTCCCGAGCCACCCTTGGGATTACACTGCAGTGTCCCAGAGAAGTCCCTTACCTGCCCCCTGAGATCCTGCGGTGTCCTCCTGTGATCGCCAACGAGAATGCCGGCCGATGACAAATTGCAGTGTTTTTTATTTGATTACATTATTGAATAAAATTATATTATTTTTTATAATTATTTATTATATTATAATTTATGATTTTGTGTTTCAAACTTTATCATACCTGGGATGCCTATTAGACTCTTGTTTGGACAGATTTAAGTGAGTAATTCCTAAGAATTACAGGCCTACAATATAAAACAACAAATTTCCATGCAAAACAATGGACCGCTTTGGGTACAAAATTACTGACATAGTCAGACCGCCAGGGAGGTTAAAATCCGGAATCGGAGTCCTAGGTTTAAGATGCCCGTACCTTCATCCCTGAGCCCGTGAATCTTTCCTTGAGAAACGGACTTTCGGGCTGTGAGTTATGGATCTGGGTACTGGCAGCTCATCCTAGATTGTCCAGGTGGGTTCACATGTACCCACATGGGTCACATGGGTCCTTAAAAGATGGAAAAGAGAAGCAGGAAGGTCACAGGAAGAGAGACTTGAAGATGCTACTCCAGTGGCTTTGAAGATGGCGGTGGGGGCCTCTAGGAGCTGGGAGAGAAGGAACACAGCCCTGCCCACACCTTGATTTTCACCCTGTAAGACCCATTTTGGAATTCTGCAAGATAATAAAACATTTATTTTGGGGTAGTTTGTTACAGTGGCCATTGGAAACTAATACAGAGGCTTAATTCCACCCTGGTGCTCATAATACATTATTATTAGTGTCCCCAGGCTCCGGGGGCTCTCGTAGGCCCAGGCCATACCCCCATCTCCTTGGCTAGAGCCTTTCCCAGGAAGGAGGGCGTGGTCTTTGTCCAGGCATCTGTCATCATCGCCTGACTGGGGTCATGGAAGCCGTTTCAGCGCCCACTCAGTGTGCTCACCTGACCCTGAAAAGATGGGGTCACCCATACCTGTCTTGCAAGCTCCATGTGAGGCCTAGAGGTGGTGAATGCAGACTATCTGTACCATGGTGCCCGACACCTGGAGGTCATGGCCATGTTTCTGAGGTGCTGGATGGCCCTGTCAGCCCTGTCAGCCTCGGAGCTCCGGGTCACGGGTGAAATGCCCTCCGCTTTGCTCTGCCACCATGAGATTGCCGCCATGAGATTATGAAAAGTCTGAGGCAAGCAGACTGATTTTTTTCAAGTGTCTTGTAAACCATCACATCTCCCTGGGTTCCAAGCCCCCAGCGCATCATAATGGGCTGGGAGGGCAGATGACAAGATGGTACAGGTTACCTTGTTTCCTCCTCATAGGACTGAGGGTTAAGTGTGAAAGCTTAGCTCAACCACTACCTGGACAAGTGACCCATTGGGCTGAAATAAACCTGTGGGCTCTATGGAGACTGGTGGGATACAGTGATGAGCTTGAGCTGGTAAAGGTTTACCTGGCTCTCTGGGGTGGGGCAGCAGGGAGTAAGCCCTAATTTGTAGCATTTGTACAAATTTCTGTGGTCCAACAGAAAGCCACAGCACAGAGGAGGGAGATGCAAAACAGAAATTAGCATGACCCGGCCACTGGAGGGGGAGGGATCTGTAAACAGGTGGTTGATGAGGCAGATTTGGGTTGTGACTTGGTAGTCAGGAGAGTGTGACAACTGTCACTCCTACCCCCTCTTCCCAGCATCCCCAAGCCCTCTTCTAATCCCCAAGCCTTCCTCTCCCGCGCCCCTTCTCAAGGCAAACAGACGCAAAGAGACAAGAGTGACTTTTCAACGTTTATTGACAGGCGGCGTTGTTCGTTAGCAGGCTCCTGTTCATTTCATTGGGATGGTGGCACTTTCAAGATGTGGCAAGAGGGTTTTGAAGGCTGGTAAAATTGAGGCAGGTGTGTGATGGACTTGCTGGATCGTGCCTGTAGCATCTTATCTTCTTCTTCTATACCTCATGGTGTAGCGGCGGTAGCATGCTGTAGGGAGAAAACAGAGAGAGGAAATTTGAGTGGGGGGCTAAGCCCCCATGTCCACAACACTTCCCTGCCACCCAAGGACCCCCCTTACTTCTCCTCCGCCTCCCACAACTGCGCCTCCTTCGTCTGCGACATCTTCGTCTCCGACGGCGGCATCTGCTCCGGCTTTGGCTGCGGCAACATCTGTATCTGGCCATGGTGCTGGATGGATTCGGCCTGGATGCTCAGAGCAGGGGCACCACCTTGGCTGAGCCAGCCAACCTGTGAGCTGTGAGCCAGGGGCTGCCTCCTGGGCCTTTTATAGACACGGGGCTTTGTGAGGTCACAGAGGCCTATACTTCACAGACCATGGCCAGAGCTGCCCTGCATCATGTCCATATATGGGCATGTGGGAGGCCCTTGGTGAGGGCGGGGCGGGGCCATCCCTGTCACCACCAGCTGGGAGATACAATGACATACATCTCTGTCAGGGCAGTCCCTTGAGTCAGTTAACAAAATATTATTGAGGGCCGGCCGAGTGGCGCGTTGGTTAAGAGCTGGCTTGGGATGCCAGAGGGCCCCGGTTCAGATCCCACATATGAGGGCCAGTGACACTGCCCTCTACNTGAACTGATGGGTGGTCCTGGGACCTGCCCGGCAACCCCACCTCCACAGCAAGATTTAAATTCAGGAGATTTACAGCCAGGTTCAACCCCAGTTTATACTGCTGCCTGATCTTGGGAAGGCCGTTTCTAGGCTTGGCTTCCTTATCTGACAAAGGGATGTCATCCCTTCCTTCCTGGTATTCTTGTGAGCCTGAGAAGCCTGTCAAGGATGCTCTCAAAAGCTTCCTCCGATTCCTGCCTCTGAACTCTACTCCCCTTCCTGCTAATGAAGCCCCGCCTACCGTTGGGATCACTCCAGTCCCCACTCAGACCTCCTAGCACCTATGGAAGAAAGCCCAAGCCTGTGTTTGTACAAGAGACCCTACCAGAGCACAACGCAGCACCCCCCACCCCGCCTTGGCTAACGCCCTTGGCTGCTCTTGGCCTGCGCCTCCGCACTTCTCCCCCCATGATGCTCTCTCCATCTCCATCCCCTCTCCCCTGGCAGGGCCCCCAGCCCAAGTCTACTTCTTCCTCTCTGTTGCTCATGCATAACTTTGTCTTTTGTTATGAGGCTTTGCTATCATCTGCTGTGGATTGATTGATAGATTGATTAGATATTTATTGGTCATTTGAAATGTGCCCGGCACTTTTAGGCACTTGAGATACTTTAGTGGACAGAACTGAGAAATTCCCTACCCTCCTTACGTTATACTGGAGTAAGACCGTAAGTAGAACATATGATCAGGAAATTATAAAGTATGTTCTGAATGGAGAAGGACTATGGGTCCTCAGAGCCAGGGGGTCGGTGCTGTGGCTGAAGGACATGGCACACGCCACACCTGAAGGGCTTGTCTCCTGCACCAATCTTCTGATGCGCACATAGGTCTGAGGACTTGGTCACACTCGGCACAAGTAAATGTCCTTTCTTTCTTGTGTCTGCTCTGGGGGACTTTTAACTGAGAGAAATAAGTAAAGATTTTGGGACACATTTCACGTTTGTTTGATTTG